TTTTGAAACCACTCGCCTAGCAGAGGCAGCCATCCGCAGGCAATAGAACTGGAGCACCCACGCAAGATGACAGAAATTGATCGGCCCCCATTTCAGGCATTGGTTTGCAACGCTGGTGAATTCACAGTAAGGCACGGCGGAGGATGGAGAGGCGGTTAAGGCAAATAATTCCTGCTATGCAGTAATTAAAGATGGAGAAGACGAAACGAAGCGGCTGGGAGACGTTGATGATGAACCGGTTGGTGGGAATGACGGCAATGCGCAGAAGTGCGAGAAGTAGCAGAAAGCATTGGAACGCGTAGTTCAGCATGTCTGGTGGTTGGGCGTGTAAATCACTTCCTCGCATCACCTGACACGTCTCTGAAAATCGATCAGTCGCACGTGTTGCGTGGCGTCTCGTGTTGCCGTGTGTTGTCAACTCCAAACAACGTTTCTTGTGGAAAGAGAATCTTATCTTTTAGGGATGGAATGGAGGAATCCAACATGCTTTCATATCATTTGTACAGGACTGTTCTTATTTAAATCAGAGTTTTTACCTAATTTGAAGTGGATTGAATGCCTATGATCATGATTTACTTCTTATACCGTGAAGTTGAGAGCACATTACCGTCTGGAACCTCCGTGGAAAACCAAATGACGAAGCCCCTGACCGAAACCGTGCTCATTGATTTCACTTCGAACTTGCCCCAAGCTGACCACAGTGAGGCGCAAAAACAATTGCTATTTATATACAGTGGGTAGAGGATTAACCTGTGCTTAGTTTCCTTAAGCTACAAAGAGACCTGCTCATTATTAAAGCATTTATCCCGCGAAAAAATTATAAACATGTAATGATAATATAAAATACATAACAGTTTTAACTCGTTTCGTCCAGCATGGGCAGTCTATTGCTACCAAACGTAGAATACTCAGAATATTACCTCAAATGGTGTAGGAAAAATTTGGCATTCATGTGAATGAATTGCTCTTTTCGTCAAAAATTGGCAATTTACCTATGATAATTTTATTTGCATGCACGTAACGTCGCATTACAATTTG